TGTGAGAGGCTGCCATTCCCTCTGTCGGGAGCTGGACTGGTGCCGACTGAAACCCTGTCGAATACAGGAGTTACCCTGGACTGGTGCCTGGTTTGAGAGGCTGCCATTCCCTCTGTCGGGAGCTGGACTTGTGCCGTCTGGAACCCCTGTCGAATACAGGAGTTACCCTGGACTGGGTTCTGGTGTGAGAGGCTGCCATTCCCTCTGTCGGGAGCTGGACTGGTGCCGACAGGAACCCCTGTCGAATACAGGAGTTCCCCTGGACTGGTTCTGGTGTGAAAGGCTGCCATTCCCTCTGTCAGGAGCTGGACTGGTGCGGTCTGGAACCTCTGTCGAATACAGGAGTTACCCTGGACTGGTGTCTGTAGATAGGAGAGGCTGCCATTCCCTCTCTCGGGAGCTAGACTGGTGCTGTCTGGAACCCCTGTCGAATACAGGAGTTCTCCTGGACTGGTGTCTAATGTGAGAGGCTGCCATTCCCTCTGCTTGGAGCTAGACTGGTGCCGACTGGAACCGGTCGATTACAGGAGTTCTCCTGGACTGGTGTCTGGTGTGAGAGGCTGCCATTCCCTCTGCCTGGAGCTAGACTGGTGCCGACTGGAACCTGTCGAATACAGGAGTTCTCCTGGACTGGTGTCTGGTGTGAGAGGCTGCCATTCCCTCTGCCTGGAGCTAGACTGGTGCCGACTGGAACCTGTCGAATACAGGAGTTACCCTGGCCTGGTGTCTGTAGATAGGAGAGGCTGCAATTCCCTCTGTCTGGAGCTGTACCAGTGCCGTCTGGAACCCTTGTCGAATACAGGAGTTCGCCTGGACTGGGTTCTGGTGTGAGAGGGTGCCATTCGCTCTGTCGGGAGCTGGACTGGTGCCGACTGGATCCCCTGGCGAATACAGGAGTTCCCCTGGACTGGTTCTAGTGTGAAAGGCTGCCATTCCCTCTGTCAGGAGCTGGACTGGTGCAGTCTGGAACCTCTGTCGAATACAGGAGTTACCCTGGACTGGTTCCTAGTGTGAGAGGCTGCCATTTCATCTGTCTGGAGCTAGACTGGTGCCGTCTGGAACCTCTGTCGAATACAGGATTTACCCTGGACTGGTGTCTGTAGATAGGAGAGGCTGCCATTCCCTCTGTCGGGAGCTAGACTGGTGCCGACTGAAACCCTGTCGAATACAGGAGTTACCCTGGACTGGTGCCTGGTTTGAGAGGCTGCCATTCCCTCTGTCGGGAGCTGGACTTGTGCCGACTGAAACCCTGTCGAATACAGGAGTTACCCTGGACTGGTGCCTGGTTTGAGAGGCTGCCATTCCCTCTGTCGGGAGCTGGACTTGTGCCGTCTGGAACCCCTGTCGAATACAGGAGTTACCCTGGACTGGGTTCTGGTGTGAGAGGCTGCCATTCCCTCTGTCGGGAGCTGGACTGGTGCCGACAGGAACCCCTGTCGAATACAGGAGTTCCCCTGGACTGGTTCTGGTGTGAAAGGCTGCCATTCCCTCTGTCAGGAGCTGGACTGGTGCGGTCTGGAACCTCTGTCGAATACAGGAGTTACCCTGGACTGGTGTCTGTAGATAGGAGAGGCTGCCATTCCCTCTCTCGGGAGCTAGACTGGTGCTGTCTGGAACCCCTGTCGAATACAGGAGTTCTCCTGGACTGGTGTCTAATGTGAGAGGCTGCCATTCCCTCTGCTTGGAGCTAGACTGGTGCCGACTGGAACCTGTCGATTACAGGAGTTCTCCTGGACTGGTGTCTGGTGTGAGAGGCTGCCATTCCCTCTGCCTGGAGCTAGACTGGTGCCGACTGGAACCTGTCAAATACAGGAGTTACCCTGGCCTGGTGTCTGTAGATAGGAGAGGCTGCAATTCCCTCTGTCTGGAGCTGTACCAGTGCCGTCTGGAACCCTTGTCGAATACAGGAGTTCGCCTGGACTTGGTTCTGGTGTGAGAGGGTGCCATTCGCTCTGTCGGGAGCTGGACCGGTGCCGTCTGGAACCCCTGTCGAATACAGGAGTTCGCCTGGACTGGGTTCTGGTGTGAGAGGCTGCCATTCCCTCTGTCGTGAGCTATACCGCTGCCGACTGGAACCCCCGTCGAATATAGGAGTTCTCCTGGACTGGCTTCTGGTGTGAGAGGCTGCAATTCCCTCTGTCGGGAGCTGGACCGGTGCCGACTGGAACCTCCGTCAAATACAGGAGTTACCCTGGACTGGTGTCTGGTGTGAGAGGCTGTCATTCCCTCTGTCGGGAGCTGGACTGATGCCGTCTGGAACCTCTGTCGAATACAGGAGTTCGCCTGGACTGGTGTCTGTAGATAGGAGAGGCTGCCATTCCCTATGTCGAGAGGTAGACTGGTGCCGACTGGAACCCCTGTCGAATACAGGAGTTCGCCTGGACTGGTGTCTGTAGATAGGAGAGGCTGCCATTCCCTCTGTCGAGAGCTAGACTGGTGCCGACTGGAACCCCTGTTGAATACAGGAGTTCGCCTGGACTGGGTTCTGGTGTGAGAGGCTGCCATTCCCTCTGTCGGGAGCTGGATCGGTGCCATCTGGAACCCCCGTTGAATACAGGAGTTCGCCTGGACTGGGTTCTGGTGTGAGAGGCTGCCATTCCCTCTGTCGGGAGCTGGACCGGTGCCGACTGGAACCCCTGTCGAATACAGGAGTTACCCTGGACTGGTGTCTGTAGATAGGAGAGGCTGCCATTCCCTCTGTCTGGAGCTGGACTGGTGCCGACTGGAACCTCCGTTGAACATCCGTGTTCTGGTGGACTGGTTCTCGTACGTAGACAGTAGGGGTTTCCATTCCTTTGTCAGGAACTAGACTGGTGCCATCTGGAGTTTGCGAAATGCAGGAGGGCTCGTGAACTGGCTCTGATGTCTGTGGATAAAGAAAGTTCCGCCATTCCCTCTGTCGGGAGCTGGAATGTTGCCGCGTGGACCCCTGTTGAATGCAGGAATTCCCCTGGACTGGTTCTGATGTGTGTGGATACAGAGAGGTTCGCCATTCCTCTGTCGGGAGCTAAACCGGTGCTGTCTGGACGTCTGTTGAATATCGTGAGGGTCTGGTGTTGCACTGGTTCTGGCATCTGTGCGGGAGGGGAGAAGCTGACATTCTTCGGTCAGGAGGTGGACTGGTGTCTTCTGGACGTCTGTCGAATGCAGGAAGGCTCGTTGACTGGTTGTGTTGTTTATGGAGACTAGTGGCTGCCGTTCCTCTTTCGAAGCTCAACCGGTACCAGGAGGTCCGGTTGGAGTGGATCTGGTGTGTTTATAAGAGAGGCCGCCACTCCTCTGTCAGGAGCTTGACCGGTACCGCCTGGATCTGCGTGTTTATACAGGAGGTCCGGTGGACTGGATCTGGTGTCTGTGTGTGTGGAGGAGAGGCTGCTGCTCCTCTTGTCAGGAGCTTGACCGGTACCGCCTGGATCTACGTGTTATACAGGAGGTCCGGTGGACTGGATCTGGTGTCTTGTGTGTGTTGAGGAGAGGCTTCCGCTACTCTGTCAGGAGCTGGACCGGTACCGCCTGGATCTGTGTTATACAGGAGGTCCAGTGAACTGGATCTGGTGTCTGTGTGTGTGGAGGAGAGGCTGCCGCTACTCTGTCAGGAGCTGGACCGGTACCGCCTGGATCTGCGTGTCTATACAGGAGGTCCGGTGGACTGGTTATGGTGTCTGTGTGTGTGGAGAGAGACTGCCGCTACTCTGTCAGGAGCTGGGTCGGTACCGCCTGGATCTCTGTGCATTACAAGGGATCTGGTGGACTGGATCTAGTGTGCGCGTAGAAGAGAGCTGGACTGGTGTATGCGAAGACATGCTTTTGGTGGTGGTGATGTTGTTATTATACAGACGTGCCCGTTTTGTTGATATAGCCATACGATGTAGACGATGTCCACGATGGTTGTGCAGACAATGCCGTCTTCTTGATGTAGTTGATGTTAAATTTTGATTTAACGCTTTCGTGACTGCAGTAATTCATATTCTTAGTTCTTTCGGTAAAGTCACGTTGAAGGGAAACAACAAAATAATAAGAATATAATATGTAGTTGATGTTGACGTCGCCTAGACATGCCCGTGCTGACGATGTGGATGTGGTTGATTTTCACGTCATCATCGATGATGATGATGATGTTGTTGTTGCCCAGACGTGCCCTTGCTGACGATGTGGATGTGGTTGATTTTCACGTCATCGTCGATGATGATGTTGTTGTTGTTGCCCAGACATGCCCTTGCTGACGATGTGGATGTGGTTGATTTTCACGTCATCGTCGATGATGACGATGATGATGTTGTTGTTGTTGCCCAGACATGCCCTTGCTGACGATGTGGATGTGGTTGATTTTCACGTCATCGTCGATGATGATGATGATGATGATGTTGTTGTTGTTGCCCAGACATGCCCTTGCTGACGATGTGGATGTGGTTGATTTTTGACGTCGTCGATGATGACGATGATGATGACGATGTTGTTGTTGTTGCCCAGACATGCCCTTGCTGACGATGTGGATGTGGTTGATTTTCACGTCATCGTCGATGATGACGATGATGATGATGATGATGATGTTGTTGTTGTTGCCCAGACATGCCCGTGTTGATGTTGGAGCCCAGCTCCTCATCCACCCTCGGTCCAACATCGCCGGCTCCCCCGGCCGCCGCCACCGCCGCACCCCCTTCCCCGTCGCTCCTCATGACCCCCCGCAAGCGCGGCTGGCCCAAGGGGGTCAAAAGGGGACCCCCCGCCGTCTCCCGCCGGCGCCGCCGCCGCAGCCACGGGCAACGGAGCGGCGCCAACCCGTCGCGGTCCACCTCCTCGCGGACCGTGGCAGGAGGCGGGGCGGCTGCTGAGAGACGGGAGGAGGAGGAGGAAGAAGAGGAGGAGGAGGAGGATGATGATGATGCGGATGAGGATGAGGAAGATGATGATGAGGAGGAGGAGGATGACGAGGAGGAGGAGGAAGAGGAGAAGGAGGAGGAGAAGCCGAAGGAGCCCAATGAGGAGATAGAGACGGAGGGATGGAAAGAGCGGCTGGCGGAGAGGGTCCAGGCGAGCTCGAAGGAGAAGCGCAAGGCGGCGGAGAGGGTCCGGGAGGATGCGAGGAGCGGGAGGGGAGCGGCGGCGGCGGAAGGGCGGGGAGACGGGGCGGCAGAGCGGAGGGCGTCGGCGGAGAGAGGAGCCGCGGAGAAGATCGGCAGGAAGGGCGGTGCCCCGGTGCCGGTGGTGCCGGTGTTGCCGGCGGCGGCGGCGAGAGACATGGAGAGGGCACCCGTGGTGGAGGAGGAGGAGGAGGAGGAGGAGGAGAGGGACGCGGGTAGAGCTGAGAGGGATGCGAGGAAAATCGGGAGAGACGAGGAGAGGGCCGAGAGAGACGCCGCGGTGAGATCGGACCGAGAGCCGCCGGCGAGATCGGATTTAGAGCCGCCGGCGAGGGATCCGGCGAGGCCAAAGACCGGGCGCGGGGACCGGGGAGCGACGGGAAGGGCGGCGAGCGGGGCAAGGCGGCGACGGTGGACGGAGAGACGCGGCGGGGAACCGGAGCCCGGGACGGGAGCGTGGAGGGAAAGGCCGAGAGGGGGGGCGCGGAGAGAGCCGGAGGCGGGGACGAGGAGACGAGGAGGAGGAGGAGGATGAGGAGGATGGGGGGAGGAGGAGGAGGAGGAGCGGGGGAGGGAGAGGAGGAGGAGGAGGAGGGGGAGGAGGGGACGGACGCCGAGAGGAGGAGGAGGAGGAGGGGGAGGAGGGGACGGACGCCGAGAGGAGGAGGGCGAAGAGAGCCAGGGGGAGTGACAGAGGCGAAGCAGAGGGGAGGGGCAAGGAGGGACGCCGCGGTGGATCCGGGCGCGGAGGGGAGGGGCAAGGAGGGAGACGCCGGGGGGAGGGGCAAGGAGGTGGACGCCGGGGGGAGGGGCAAGGAGGGAGACGCCGGGGGGAGGGGCAAGGAGGGAGACGCCGGGGGGAGGGGCAAGGAGGGAGACGCCGGGGGGAGGGGCAAGGAGGTGGACGCCGGGGGGAGGGGCAAGGAGGTGGACGCCGGGGGGAGGGGCAAGGAGGGAGACGCCGGGGGGAGGGGCAAGGAGGTGGACGCCGGGGGGAGGGGCATGGAGGGAGACGCCGCGGTGGAGGGGGCCAGGGGGGGAGACGCCGAGGGGAGGGGCAGGGGGAGAGGCGCCGCGGTGGTGGAGATGGACGCGGCGGGGGAGGGGGCCGAGGGGAGGGTCAGGGAGGAGGGCGTCGGAGGCGCGGAGAAGGCGGCGGAGGTTTGAGAGGCTGAAGGCGAGGGCCGGGACCTGCGGGGAAAGCGGCGGCCCCCGACGGCGCCGGGAGGCCTCCGGCAGGAAGCGTCGGAGGCAGGCCGGGGACGGGAGGCCGGCCGAGCGGGCGGCCCGGCGGCGTCTGAGCGACTCTGAGCGCCGCTGCTGAGGCTGAGAAGAAGGAGGAGGAGGAGGAGGAGGAGGAGGAGGAGGAGGAGGAGGAGGAGGAGGAGGAGGAGGAGGAGGAGGACGAGGAGGAGGAGGAGGAGGAGGTGGAGGAGGAGGAGGAGGTGGAGGAGGAGGAGGAGGAGGAGGAGAAGGAGGAGGAGGAGGAGGAGGAGGAGGAGAAGGAGGAGGAGGAGGAGGAGGAGGAGGAGGAGGAGGAGGAGGAGGAGGAGGAGGAGGAGGAGGAGGAGGAGGAGGAGGAGGAGGAGGAGGAGGAGGAGGGGGCGGAGACGAAGAGGCGAGCAGCAACGGAGCCCGGCGGGGTGCCGGGCCGCGGGAACGTCCCTCGGGACGCCCCCGGCGAGAATCCGGCGGTCGAGACGCCGGCGACGGAGGAGGGGAAGGGGGGGCGAGGGGGAAGAGGAGGAGGAGGAGGAGGAGGAGGAGGCGGTGGAGGAGCCTCCTCGGCTCTCGCGTCCCCCGAGGCCGCAGGAGGAGACGCAGAGGAGGAGGAGGATGAGGAGGAGGAGGAGGAGGAGGAGGAGCAGGAGGGCGGGGACGGCGGCAGGCCGGCAGCAGCGGCGGCGGCGGCGGCGGCGTCGCGACGCGGAGGAGGAGCCAGGGGGGCTGGACGACGACGAGGAGGAGGAGGAGGAGGAGGAGGAGGACGAGGAGGAGGAGGAGGAGGAGGAGGAGGAGGATCCTGCGGTGGGGGGCAGGGCGGGACCGGAGGTGCCCGCGGCGGCGGTCGGCCGGCAGCAGCAGGAGCAGCAGCAGGTGGAGGAGGAGGAGGAGGCGGAGGAGGAGGAGGCGGAGGAGGAGGAGGAGGAGGAAGAGGAGGAGGAGGAGGAGGAGGAGGAGGAGGAGGAGGAGGAGGAGGAGGAGGAGGATGCGGAAGAGGAGGAGGAGGAGGTGTCTGTGAAGGAAGCCGCGGCCTCGGGTTTTGACGACCCCTCGGCGGATGAAGTGAAACCGGCGGCTCCGTCGGCTCCGTCGGCTCCGTCGGCTCCGTCGGCTCCGTCGGCTCCGTCGGCTCCGTCGGCTCCGTCGGCTCCGTCGGCTCCGCCGGCTCCGTCGGCTCCGTCGGCTCCGCCGCCGCGGCCATTGAGAAGCAGCAGCGGCGCAGGAAGGATAAGCAGCAGCAGCAGCTCCAGCAGCAGCAGCAGCTGCAACTGCAGCACCTCCGTCACGTCGGCGACGATGCCCAAGGCGATCGCCGCCACCACCACCACCACCACCACCGCCGCCACCACCACGAGGAGGAGGAGGAGGATGACGAAGACGATGCCACCGAGGAGGCCGAGGGACACCAGGAGGAGGACGACGACGACGGGGAGGAGGAGGAGGAGGAGGAGGAGGAGGAGGAGGAGGAGGAGGAGGAGGAGGAGGAGGAGGAGTTGGAGGAGGAGTTGGAGGGTGATGCAGAGGCGCCGGGGAGGAGGAGGGCGGCGGAGGGGGTCGCTCTCGCGGAAGCCGATTGCCCGTGTCCGACCGCACGTCCCGGCGGCGGAGTCGTCGGCGATGAGGAGGAGGACGACGAGGAGGAGGATGAGGTGGACGAGGAGGAGGAGGAGGAGGATGAGTCCGGTGAAGCCGCCGCGGATGTGGAACGGCAACAGAAGCAGCGGCAGGGAGTGAGGGAGGAGGAGCGGCGACAGGAAGTGAGGGAGGAGGAGCGGCGACAGGAAGTGAGGGAGGAGGAGCAGCAGGAAGTGGAGGAGGAGGAGCGGCGACAGGAAGTGAGGGAGGAGGAGCGGCGACAGGAAGTGAGGGAGGAGGAGCGGCGACAGGAAGTGGAGGAGGAGGAGCGGCGACAGGAAGTGAGGGAGGAGGAGCGGCGACAGGAAGTGAGGGAGGAGGAGCGGCGACAGGAAGTGAGGGAGGAGGAGCGGCGACAGGAAGTGAGGGAGGAGGAGCGGCGACAGGAAGTGAGGGAGGAGGAGCGGCGACAGGAAGTGAGGGAGGAGGAGCGGCGACAGGAAGTGAGGGAGGAGGAGCGGCGACAGGAAGTGAGGGAGGAGGAGCGGCGACAGGAAGTGAGGGAGGAGCGGCGACAGGAAGTGAGGGAGGAGGAGCGGCGACAGGAAGTGGAGGAGGAGGAGCGGCGACAGGAAGTGAGGGAGGAGGAGCGGCGACAGGAAGTGAGGGAGGAGGAGCGGCGACAGGAAGTGAGGGAGGAGCGGCGACAAGAAGTGAGGGAGGAGGAGCGGCGACAGGAAGTGAGGGAGGAGGAGCGACAGGAAGTGAGGGAGGAGCGGCGACAGGAAGTGAGGGAGGAGGAGCAGCGGCAGGAAGTGAGGGAGGAGCGGCGACAGGAAGTGAGGGAGGAGGAGCGGCGACAGGAAGTGAGGGAGGAGGAGCGGCGACAGGAAGTGAGGGAGGAGGAGCGGCGACAGGAAGTGAGGGAGGAGGAGCGGCGACAGGAAGTGAGGGAGGAGCGGCGACAAGAAGTGAGGGAGGAGGAGCGGCGACAGGAAGTGAGGGAGGAGGAGCGACAGGAAGTGAGGGAGGAGCGGCGACAGGAAGTGAGGGAGGAGGAGCAGCGGCAGGAAGTGAGGGAGGAGCGGCGACAGGAAGTGAGGGAGGAGGAGCGGCGACAGGAAGTGAGGGAGGAGGAGCGGCGACAGGAAGTGAGGGAGGAGGAGCGGCGACAGGAAGTGAGGGAGGAGGAGCGGCGACAGGAAGTGAGGGAGGAGGAGCGGCGACAGGAAGTGAGGGAGGAGGAGCGGCGACAGGAAGTGAGGGAGGAGGAGCGGCGACAGGAAGTGAGGGAGGAGGAGCGGCGACAGGAAGTGAGGGAGGAGCGGCGACAGGAAGTGAGGGAGGAGGAGCGGCGACAGGAAGTGAGGGAGGAGGAGCGGCGACAGGAAGTGAGGGAGGAGGAGCGGCGACAGGAAGTGTGGGAGGAGCGGCGACAAGAAGTGAGGGAGGAGGAGCGGCGACAGGAAGTGAGGGAGGAGGAGCGACAGGAAGTGAGGGAGGAGCGGCGACAGGAAGTGAGGGAGGAGGAGCAGCGGCAGGAAGTGAGGGAGGAGCGGCGACAGGAAGTGAGGGAGGAGGAGCGGCGACAGGAAGTGAGGGAGGAGGAGCGGCGACAGGAAGTGAGGGAGGAGGAGCGGCGACAGGAAGTGAGGGAGGAGGAGCGGCGACAGGAAGTGAGGGAGGAGGAGCGGCGACAGGAAGTGAGGGAGGAGGAGCGGCGACAGGAAGTGAGGGAGGAGGAGCGGCGACAGGAAGTGAGGGAGGAGGAGCGGCGACAGGAAGTGAGGAGGAGCGGCGACAGGAAGTGAGGGAGGAGGAGCGGCGACAGGAAGTGAGGGAGGAGCGGCGACAGGAAGTGAGGGAGGAGGAGCGGCGACAGGAAGTGAGGGAGGAGGAGCGGCGACAGGAAGTGAGGGAGGAGGAGCGGCGACAGGAAGTGAGGGAGGAGGAGCGGCGACAGGAAGTGAGGGAGGAGGAGCGGCGACAGGAAGTGGAGGAGGAGGCCGATTTGGCGGCGGCTTCACCGGAGACGGCCGAGGCCATCCGCCACCTGGAGCATAGCGAGCAGCACAGCCCCGTGGCTATCGGTGCGGTGCCCCACCACCACCACCACCACCACGACCACCACCACCACCATCTGATCCACATCAACGATGATGCGGAGGAGGAGGAGGAGGAGGAGGAGGAGGAGGAGCGGCGCGTCGGTGCTGGAGATGAGCGGCAGGAGGAGGAGGAGGATGATGAGGTGGACGAGGTGGATGAGGAGGAGGAGGAGGCCGGCCACTCGGGGGAGCTCCGGACGACGAGGGCGGTGGGGGCGGTGGCGGTGGAGGCGGTGACGGCGCCGGTGGTGGCGGGCGACCAATCTGCGGGAGAGGAGGAGGACGAGGAGGCGACGGTCGGCTCTCAGCCGCCCCACTCGCCTCTCCGTCGTCGTCCTCCTGAGGAGGAGGAGGAGGAGGTGGAGATGGAGGAGGAGGATCCGCGGCCACAGGCGCCCGGAGCCGAGTTCGGAGCCCCGGAAGCCGAGTTCGGAGCTCCGGGAACGGAGTTCGGAGCTCCGGGAACGGAGTTCGGAGCTCCGGGAACGGAGTTCGGAGCTCCGGGAACGGAGTTCGG